CAACGTCCGTTTGAAAAGGTGTCGCAGCTGAGTGTTGAGAAGATTTGGAAAAAGTAAGCAAGGAATCTTTTGATTTGTGCTTCTCAAACCACAAGATGCAGACCCCCCATGAGAGCGCCAAAGTTCATGGCAAACCAGCAGTTTGGATCCTACGCTTTTGGAAAAGGCAATGCTTTCAGTCACGCTTTGAGCTAATGATTGAAAGGTAGCAACGTATTGCCTGGCTTAGCACTGGCTTTTCTCGACACCACGAGTTGGTCTCAATGACTCAATGGACATGGTTTTTGTTCAATCATTCGAAAGAAAGGCAAGAAAGATGGTCTTCAAACTGTTGCAAGTCACATTGATTGAATCTGATGCGTGCAGCTTGTTCACTCCTTAGAGTATCCACTTGTTGTCATTATTTTTCCTTACATTAGTGGCCCTGTCATGCTGCTATGAGAGCAAAGCAACGGAAACGAGGCAAGCGATGTCTATATGTGCTGTTCGTATGTTTATGCTTCCATGTGCTTGTTAGAAAGCTGCTGACAAGAAAACCACCTTGACAGGCTGGGTCATTTTGGCTACAGCGTGGCGTGTCTCCAGGCTTGTTGCCCCACCCTTAGTTGACAGTGGATCCAAGTGGAGTTGCAACTTACTTCTTTTTGAGAGCCTGTGGCCAATCGAATTGGGTCCCGCATTTGTGCCTTAAGGTGAGCCCATGCAGATCTTTCTGTTCGCAAAAGCCTAGTCAGCGACACGGTTTGAGACCTTTGCCTGCAGCACCAAACAAGGACCATACAAAGGGAAGAACCGTTGCACCCAACTCACAGACGTCTTGCGTTTTGTGCACGTCAGGCAAACTTACTAGTAGTAACAAGAAGCTACTAGGAACAAGTGCCACGCTAGTAGTAACAGGTGCCTTACTAGTAGTAACAAGAAGCTAGTAGGTTTTGCGCCTTAAAGACGGTCTTTTTGCGAAATCAGCTGTTTCCATCTGGTTCGGTGCAGGACCCACAAGGAATCAAGCCCGAGGAGATGGGCTTGACGTCCAAAATGTGACTTGAAGTGTTCCTTCCGAAATGCGACCCCAAAACATAGCGCCATAAGTCCTATGTTCCCATTCAGCTCTGCTTGGTGACGAACTTTTGCCATGGAATTTGTAACAGACAAGGCCCTGTCAGAGTGCTTTCAAAGCGCCTTGTTTCCAACCCGCAGGAATCGGCAAGAGATGAGGCACATTTGTCAGCCAACTGAATTCCCTTTTTCACGCGACAACTTCACTTTGTTCAATTGTTGCAAGCCGTTGCTTCACGTTTCGTCTTCAAAGCCTAAACCTCTTCTTTCAAACAACTTTGCTTTTGCTTCGAAGATTCCCTGCGACATGTCACACATGTGACGTGATTGCTCCAGACTTGTCATCTAGTGTCCAGTTTTGTTTCTTCAAACCGAAAGAACTGAAACAGAAGAATGACAGGGAAGTCATCAGAGTTATGTGCTGTTTGCAACAGACTGCGCTCAGACTGCACATGAAGCCAATAACATCAATTCTATTTGAAGAGACGTTCTAGATAGTCTTAATCCCTTGTGTTCTCATTTCCCGGTTTGTTTTCATTTTTAGTTTTTGTTCCGCAAAAACTGGCTCCGCTATGAGCACCTGCGACAGGTTGATGCCTTGACTTTGGCACGACGTCAGCTGAAACTTGCTTTGGACCAGCAAGCAACTGCACAAGCGCAAGTGGACAGAGCGCAAGTGCAGGTAGACATGGCTGTGGAGGACTTGCGGACAGCTAGAGAAACAGGAGATGAGCAGAAGGTGGAGGAGGCGAAGAAGGAGGTGGAGGAGGCGGAGGAGAAGGTGAAGGAGGCGGAGGAGAAGGTGGAAAAGGCGGAGGAGAAGGTGGAAAAGGCAAAGACGGAGGCGAAAAAGGCGGAGGAGAAGCTGGAGGAGAAAGCCCAGCAGGAGAAGGCCATTCGCTGCACAGCTTCAGTGTTGTCACAGTTCTCCCGAAAGATGCAAAAATAGATGAAAGCTACTTCATATGTCTTCACATTCTATGGTTCAATCAGTTCTGTTTCTTCAGTGAATACCCTCAGTATGCCTCCAAAAGATGAATGAATCCCAAATCACAAGGTAAACCTTGAAAGAACCAGAGAGTCAAATAACACTTAACAGACTGAACACGACATCTTAACACGGGAGATGTTCTCTTGCTCCAGGTGCCAGGCTTCCAGTCTCTCACTAAGCTTCTTGGAAGGCCGCTTTTTCCCAACGCCGTGCCTCTGAATGACAGAAATGCCACATATTCTTCAGCTTCTTCATACATTCTCGGCTTGGACTGGGGTCCGTTCAACGGGAAACTGGCCCTGCAAAACAAAAGGTTGCAGGCACAGCTTCTAGATCGCGAACAGGAGGTGCAACTTATCGTGAAGAAGTTGCTGGAAAGGTCAAACAACTTGTTTGGCAAACGTGCGTCAGACAAGGCTTTCTCCCCAGCCATCCTAGTGGCACAGGCACCTGGAGCAGGCAAGAGCCATTTCCTGGCCATGCTCGGAGAGGAGATTCCCATGCTGTACGACCTGGATGGTAGAAGCCAGACACCAATCATCTCAGCTTTCACCTACAACTCTGGAATGACCAAAGATGACATTGAGAATCTGAAGACTGACTTGGCGCTGCGGGTTCTTTATGGTGCAGCAAGGCACATGAGCAGGACAAAGTGCGAGTGGAGTGACTTCGTAGAAGCATGGAAGTCTCACTTCGTAAAAGCATGGAAATCTCGGGAGATTGACTCGATTGACATCAATTTGGCTGTGAAAATCCTGCGCAGATGGTACGGTGACCGTCCCGTTGTGATCCTGGCTGATGAGGTGGGAAAGTCGAAGGACGAAGCTTTGGTGCGCCAGGAGCTTTGCAGGACGATGGACGCTTGGGGAGGCCAAGTCTTTGTCATGATGTCTGCTCTCAGCAATTACCACGCAGCTATGGAGATGTTCAGGGGCAGCAATCGACGGGTCGACATTTGCATTTTAACAGTCCTTAGTACTGAAGCCTACGACCTTTTTTCCGCCAAGCTCCGTGAACTGCAGCAGAAGCAGGAAAAAGGTATCAAGGGGGACATCCTGCAATATCGAATTTCTCTTGCCTGGGGAGCTACCGGCGGCTACGCACGGGCCATTGAGTACATGGCTGAATACATCAGCAACTTTGCCCAAGGTCTTAAAGCTGGAGTTGTCTCAAGGGCCACAGGGCACCTTGGAACAGAGAGGTCCTTGCCCCCAATGTTTTCCAAGGAGGAGTTGGAATCTGTGTTAGAGATGTGGGAAAGACAAGATTGTCCCTTTCTGCGATTGGATGACATTGTGAACCTGATGCCTGAAGCCACATACAACGGGAGTGTACTAATAGACTCAGTTATGAAGGGAATGCAAGTCTACCTGCCAACTGTTGCTCCGTGGCATGCAGCCAGTTTCTTCACTTCAGTGTGGCAAAGTCATAAGAACCTGCCACCGAGATGTGCCAAACTCCTGGATTTGGCCGGCATCGCATACAAAAACAAAGTCGATGCCATTGACAGCAGCAACGTGCAGACCATGAAGCAAACCAGCTCATACTTCACTGAGGTCGTGGCGGCTTTTGCTGCCATGTTTGCGATCGTGAAGAAGTACAAGAAGCTGCCACCAGTTCTGACACAGGGTACGGCACGCAGCATTTGCGACATCGACCTTGATGATTCGTTCTTGCAGGAAGAACTTGCCACGAAAGGCAAGGAGGATGCAGATGAGAAGTTAGCATCATTTTTGGAAAAAGCCGTGGAACTAAGCCAACAGAAGGACAAGGAGCAACCCTTCTTAGTGATCATGGCTCCGCCCAACTGCAAGGCTGTTGACTTTCTAATCTTCTGCCAAGATCAGAACAGTTTTGTGGCTGTTCAGGTGAAATCTAACACACTGACTGAGGCGAAAGCCCAGAATACACAAAAGGCAGCCTTGCTGCAAGCAGCAAAGGACATCCGCTCTGCCAGCGACTCCTTGCAGCTTGTGGCCTTCCTTGCTATAGTCGGCTCCAACTACACAGAAATGGAGGACTTGAAGGCTGACACGTTTCTCCTGCAGCTTGAGGATCTCGTCGCCCTCATCCCACCCTTTCTGCGACAACTCTCGGGTCTCGCTGCAGGGGTGCAAAGCGTGGAAGGTGAGGATGCGTGAGTGGAAAAAGATTGAAAAAGCATCCAAAGCAGATTTAAAAGCTTCTTGCTCCTAGTAGTAAGGCCAGGAGCCCCTAGTTAGTAGCTTC